CACTATATAAACCGCAGATCCTTGGCGAGAGACCAGAATGCACGGGTTCCCGAAGGAAGGTGAATTAGCTTCTGCCAATTCTGCCGATGTGCCCAGACTCTGCCTTGGCAATAACTCTTTTGATGGACCTGGAGGCGGAATTATACTGTTACGAGCTTGAGGTTCGTGACAATAAAAATTGCCGATAGAATTACCTAAATTAACACTTTAATTCACTTTACACTAATTAAAGTTAAAAACACTAATAATTAATCACACTGATTAACTTTATTCCGCTCCGAAGCTTCGCTTGTCTCGCCAACTTCAATACTACTCCGATCGCGTATTGCAGCGCCTTTATATAGGGCTTCTTTTTAAGAGCGCTGGTGTTAACATCCCGAGACGTTGATGCATTAGCCCAGGCCCGGTAGCTTTCCTGCTTATAGCGTGATGCTATTTTACAGGAGCGACCAAACCATGGCTGGAATCTGCCTCCGATGGGCACCGCAGATGACGGAATAAAAAGTTCCATACCCTCAGTCAGTGACCCTTTCACATCAGTGACAGAATCAGCAAAAATGCTAGGATCGTCCGGTGAGAAACCAACCCGCCCCCAAACACTCCAGGCAAGACAATGGTCTGATAATCCTAAAGGGGCGTCGACGGAAACATGATATCCTTCCGGATGAGTGGTCAGCAGAAGGTCCAACAGGGAAGGTGTATGATCTTCAACATCTGGAATCAGCGTAGGTGCAGTAACCGATTGTGTCAGACCATATTCCAAAGCAAAGTCATAAACACATCTCCCCGCATGATCAGTTAAAAGTAACGGCAAATCACGGTCTCTGCGGATGGGATCTGTTGTAGCACGGAATCTGCAGCCATTTGGACGTGGTCAAGGAGTCCGTCTCTTTCGGTATTACCGCTATGGGACCTATAGAGGAACCCGTAGACGTGGAGATGGTTGTTGCTGTCTACGCGCAGCCATAGGATGGATGGTCCGTACCTTCAAAACTGCCGAGGCGTCGGAAACAGATGTCCTCTCTGGCGTGTACGCAAACCCCAGCCCGAGGTACAAATGAATGTTCTAATTTGTACCCCGGGTAGAAGAGATATGAAGTATCAGCTAGAGAAGACACCTGAGTCTTGGTTAAAAAAGCAAGGCCGGTTTCGCCGTCTCCAGATGGTAGTGGACAGTGTTAAGGTTGGAATGGAGTCCCCTGATGTTGTAAAAATCACGGATACCGTGGCAAGGGTCGCCTTGGTGTTGTTGGTCCGTTTGCTCCGGGCAGTTGTTGTCTTGAGCGGAATTTTCCCCCTCCCAGAATACGCGGGGCAGCATGAGCACGCACGCTCAGGAGTGGAGTAACTTGGTCTCTCGATTCTCCAGGGGTGCTGGTACCCTCCTGGGGTAGATCTTCACTTAATTTCGCTACCATGTTAAGGGGCAGGGGAGGGGGGCAATGGGGCATCCGGCCACCTCCACTCACCAAGGGAAACGTAGAGGTAACTCTCTACTTCAAGCTGGTATTCTGTGGTACCATCCCGGTTTGAGCCGGCCCATCCTTGCGACAGCAAAAGCTGCTGTGTTAAATCTACCACCACTAACTATCACTGTTAAATTTAAAATTATTGTTACGGAATATCAGCACAATATAGGAGCCTAATACTGCTGTGTTTCGTATGGTGAGTGTAGAAAACTGGTGACTCTTTTTACTGGAAACGAGGCATTCTATCTAAGTTATCAGAGGTGAAAACTGAATCTGCATTTTGATTTTTAATTGGACCTATGGACCAGCCATAGCACTTACTTATCATCAAATGTACCGTGTCCTCGTTCGCCACTCTCATTCTTTAAAAAAATATGTAATTAGTTTAACCGTTTCAATTAAAGTAAAAGTAAATAAATAAATGTATATTCTTATTTATATAGTGACTTTCACTATAATATAGCGGTAATATAACGTGTGTTCATCTAATAAGTCTTCAATCTTGAGCCTCCATTAATCTACAATTCACATCGATCAATCGTGATTTCAACGACAACTTGAAAAATTATGTGTAATCGAAAGACAACTGACGCAAAACCTGAAGTGATAGGGATTTCGGTAATCTCCGTATCTATCAAATAAACGGAATGCGCTAAAAATTTAAGCATCAATAATAGTGCAATAATATTTGAATGTTCAACATTTATAAATTCAGAGTTATAAACTATAAAAGTGATAGGAAACTAATCTACTATCGGGTGGGATAATAGTCGTGAACAGGCTTGGAATAGTAAGAAGAAATCTACACTGAAATTGCCCTTACAGTATATTTAACTACTTTAGACGTTAAAATAAAGCTTACTACAGTGTTTTAGAATGAGTGTGACTGTTTGTAAAGAGTTTTAGAAACGGTCAAGTAGATTTTTTATTTTTTATCATTTACAGTGTTTTGTTTGATGATCTGGTCTGGCATGTACGTGCTTGCTGTATGATTTTATATCCACTCTAAGCCAGTGCTTGATTGCTATTCGACATGATGCTAAGTGGCGCTGCAATCAATGACGATAAGCACACTGACTTAGCTTAAGAAAAGTACATTTACTCTTGCCTCAAAGATAACAAATCCATATAGGATGGACATCTGTTAATGTTGATAAATTATTTCACTCCTTCATTATACGTATGACGAAAACGAAGCAAAACGTTTGGCACAAATATGTGGTAACTTTACAACGAAAAGGTAAAGGCTGGACGAGTGTCTGGTTGGCCGATGACGGAAGGGAAAATATGAAATGCTTGATGTGACGAGATAGTTAGCTTGAATCTTAGACAATAATGTAAAATTTGTTCAGATTAGCCGCCAAATTTCATGAAAGCACTACAGGGCAAACCTCCCGATACCATTCACACCATCTGGATGCTTGGCGGTCCACTACTGTACGCTTCACTAGGAGTTTTTTTCCGCGTACAACCTCTCTGTGGAATAGTTTACTACCGGTGATTTTTCCGGACCGATACGACCTAGGGACCTTCAAGAAAAGAGCTTACTCCTTTCTTAAAGGCAGGCAACGCACCTGCAATTCACCTGGTGTTGCGATTATTCATTGGCGCCGGTAATTACTTAACATCAGGTGAACTGTATGCCCGTTGGCCTCGTCTTCTATAAAAGAAGAGTAATGCTATGCGTACTTATATGGTTTCTCGGTTTTTGCCAGTCGAGAGAGTATCAAATCTCGGGTCCGGTTGACAGCCACTAGAGATGTAAATGTGCATGTAATGCATGCATGTGAGTTGTCTATGCGTTAGTTAACTTAACAAAAGTATATTTACTCTTGCCTCGAAGATAACAAAACCATATCGGATGGAATAACAGATGTTGATAAATTATTGCACTCCTTTGTTATGCGTATAACCAAAGACGAAGTAAAACGTTTGGGACGAATATGTTACCACGCTCGTCCAGCCTTCAACTTTTCGTTGTAAACTTGTTTTGTTGAAAAGTTGAAGGCTGGACGAGCGTCTGGTTGGCCGATGGAAGAAGAGAGAATATGAAATGCTTGATGTGATGAAATAGCTTAGGTCTTAGACAATAGTGTAGAGGAACGCTACCCGTACGTATATGGCTTCTCGGTTTTGCCATTTCAGCTAATGTAAAAGGCTTACAAGTCTTAAAAAATTGAAGCGATAAACGAAAGTACAGACTACTTGACGGTAGTATTAGTGATTAGTGTCTACTGCAGCCTATGAACATCTGCAACCAACTTTGGGCAAAGAAGACTTCAGGTGCACTGTCACCTTTTCTTAAAAAATATCGGTTAATTGTATACTACACTTGCACAAACGCTTGCATATTTTTTTCCAAATTATGAGCTATAATAAAATTGGATAGTGAAAAGCACTTGCTTATTTACTCTAAGGCGCCTATTTATTTACACACACTTAGGTTAACTTCGTTAACCTTTGGTTAACCGTTATTTTTATTCTAATACTTTGCTCAACGTACAAATGATGAAGCTAAACACTTCGTCCAAAACCTAGATAAATCTTAACCCACCGTGAGTATTGCGCACACACTCAAAATTTTTACTTGGGATACTGCAGCTTCAAATAGCGAGCGGGTAGTAACATACCACTGGCATAGAATTTCCAGCCAGTAAATTCTTCGTCTACTAGCACTTATTTCACCTTGTATATTTTATTGGAAAATAATTTAGACAGGACGCCAGTATATGTCTTAAGTACTGGGAACTAGTTTACGTTTCCTTCCTTTCATTTTCATTCCTGAGCAGAAGCAGCTTAGGAAATATCTAATCAGAGGCACAAACAAACATCTTGGAACGTTCTTTTCATAGAATTAAAGGTGATAAATGGGCATACAGTCCACCTAAAAGGTAGTGGTTTTGTGATCAGCAACAGACAGAAATGTATGCACTGAGTTCAAGGTTGCTAATTGGTATATTATATAGTTGCTATTGGTATATAACACGTAAGAGGACTCTATAGCCGATCAAACCTGTACGTGGCCTAGAGTGAGCAGCTTTCACCGTAGACTTCCTTGAAATACGTAAATTGATTATTCGTTATAATTTATCACCCTAGAACAATTATTCAAATGCACAATCATGACATAATCGTCAGAGCTATTAATAATTATACGAGTATTCAAGTAGAACTGACAGAAATTTTTAGACGTTTTTCACAAAAATTTTGAAAAAAATAGTAACGCGATTGTAATGTTTATTAAACGCCGGTTTCAATCATCTACATAAGGTTAGATTAGTCTTCGTGTGTAGACTAGTCTTCGTCCTTGACAGACAGATAAAAAATCGATGCGTTCGATACCGTTCGATAAAAATCGATGTGTTAATACACACGAAATAATAAACTTAACGAAATAAATAACGTAATATATATATATATATATATATATATATATATATATATATATATATATATATATATATATATAAAAAAAAAATTATATATATAATATCGATGTTTCATTGCTTTAAGAAAGTATTTTTATTACAGGTCAAGCTTGGCGAGTTCCGCAACTACTCCTTCCACAATTGTATAGTTTTGCAAAAAGTTGACATAATTAAAAAGGCTTGTAATTGTACGCCATACTTTTTTCGATTTAAAAACAAAGGTATGTATTTATAATCTTAAATATTATAGTTATTTGTTTTTGAAGTGCCATAGTAGACATAGGCTAAACGCTCGCAGTAAAATGCGAGCTACCTGGGTTTGATCCTCGCCGGCACCTTTGAAATTGTTAATTGAAATTCTAAGAGCTGCTAACACATGCTCGGCGGCGAAGGTAAACGTGAGAAAATTTGCATGTCAGAGAAATTAAAATAAATATTTCGAAGATAGGTGAAGTCCGCCATCAGGTATTATAGTAGCATGGCAGATTCTTCCTTGCTCTTAATCCCTCTTAAAAATGAGAGTAGGCATAAGCCCGCCCTAGTATTGGGACGTATAAAGGCGGTAACTTTACTTTTTTGCATTCTTAATTTTTTATATATTGTATTGTATATTTTTATTATTGTAGTTTGAGAAAACTTTATGATCGGTGTCAACGTCATTACAATACATACTAATAACAAAACTATGGCCGCCTTGAAGTATGTACGGAAGAAAACGTTACCACACTCCACGCAATTCTCTAGCGAAAAACAAAAAAACGGTGAAAATATATGAACAAATAATGTGCGACCAACCTCGAAGATATTTCAGCGCACACCTGTAGCATAGTAGTTACAGAGAACTGTAAATATTGTTCTTTAAATAACATAAAGTCTAGTATAGTTTTATTCTGTGAGCGGGAGCAAGCGCTTAAACTGTTAGATTTTTTTCGAAAGTTAAAAAATTACAACGACTGAAAAATGTGTTCTCAACCACCCCTAAAAATAGTTAGAATTTTCATTCAATTTTCATTTTATATAAGTATACATTTTAAAACAGTTTCATTATGGAATCTAAATCTTTGAATAGCGATATACGCACGACTAAACAGTCGATTCGCGACTATTTAGTTATGCATTAGGACCATTGAAACGACATAGTATTTTATTTATTATGCTTATACAATAAAAAACAAGCTAGTTTTTTCTTAAGTATTTATCATGGAAGTTGTACCTATTAAGAGTATAATTGAGTGCTGCTAAACGACAAGTCGACAGTGGAAAAAAGTAAATCGATAACGACTGTATGCGCACTACTATAGATCAAACAGTTTAATCATCATGTAATCGTCACAAGCTTTGTACAAAGCATACAATTCGACTAAACAATCTACCGCATACGAGTATAAATCATTTTTAAATCGAAGGCTAACCGCCTAGCAGTACGGGTAGGGCAAGTATAATCAACCATATAGTCAATATATTTTTTTATAGAATAAAGGTGATAAACGAGAACACAATCCACCTGATGGTAAGCGAATGCTGTGGCCCATTGACATCTATATTTATCCTCAATTAAAAATCCAAGATTCAGACCGTCTTTCTGGTATAGATGACTGCATAGATTTGTCTGCAAAGTGATACTACCGCAAGTTTTTTTTGTTTTTAAAGTCCATGTCCAGTTATGAACTGTTTACAGGGATAAAAAAATTATGAATTATTTTTATTCCTCAGACAAGCAGGTTTCCTCACTATATTTTCCTCTACCGCCAAACACGCGGTACGTAAATGGATGTTTAAAATTGCAATTAACAATTTTTTGGTGCCAGCGGATAAAGAAGTAGGGTTACTCGCGTGCTTTGAAACTAATAGTAACTGCTTAGTTTCAGAGCTACCGCATCTCTTAAATTTTAGAACTGACTTATTACGTCATTAAAACGAAAACAAATGTTTAATTTTGCAGATATCGTTCATATGTGCAACTTTCGCGATTTAGATTGCCTCGAAGGAATTTCAAGTAAAGTATTGCTTTTTTATTGCTAAAATTTACTTATTAAGTCGAATTTTTAAATGATAATAAAGGAGACTATTAGCGAGTAAACATTACTTTTCATTTAAGTTTACAAAAAAAAAATTGGTTCAATTAATTTAGATTGATTAACTAGATGATTACAAGGAGCACTTTTAAATATAAACACTTTGTGACTTTACACATTAGTAAATGTACACACTATTCGATTTTCTTTACGGATCTTAGATAATAAATTTTCAAATCTTTCATTATGATTATTATCACTGTTATAGTGCCTCACAACTCAAAGCCTTACTGCACAAGGCCTCCCCATATAATTTTGCACGCAAACGCATGAGGTTGTCGTGTAAATGGTGTGATTTTTTTGATGATTGTTTATTTCTTTCATCCTCAACATTATCACACTCAACAATTCCACACTGCCAACCCCAATTTTATTGCTTGAAGCAAGAATGCGTAAACGAGTATCCAATGTTTGTTTATTCATTTGCTTTTGGGTGATTTTGATGGTTGAGTAAGTCATATACCGTTTTCGCGCTATTTGAGCGAGCATACTTTTGTTTCTAGAGTTGTAAACAAATTGTCGTAGCAGCGGTTCTGTCAAGTTTGCCTGTACAGTTACATCTTGTACGAAGTACATGTATTTCCATGGTTACATCCGATAGGTAAGCTTAACTGAGTAAAGGACATACACGCAGCGGTTATGCAACATACTAGTACACGCTCCGGTTTACCTGCACATTTCAACTGTGTGGTTAAACGTGTTATCGTGTTTGCCTACCGTTAGAACGTGTAAATAACAAAATGATGAAAATATTACGAGGGAAATTACACATATGTATGTACTCATTATTGAATAAAAATGATGAAACAAATATTGCTTAGTAAATAAATTCAAGATGTAATAAATTATTAAATAATAAAATTAACATATGCAAATTATAGTCAACCAAATCTAAGAAATACATTTTCACAGCTGTCAGACTTATTGCACCAAGCATGCCAACCAAAAATTGAAACGTACAATATTCGATTCTTAAAAAAATCGATATCGATTATTTAGAGTTGGTAATCATTTACAGTTTGGTTTGTATAATACCAAAATAAATTTGAAACAGGTAATTTAAAACCCAAGATTTATCAGTTTCTACTTATTTGTTGTTACTGCTTATTTTTAGAGGCACAGTTATAAAAATTTAAGATTAAAACCGGATTAGAAAATTTATTCAATCACTTTCAGTACAACTAATTTAGCTGTCGTTGTTTAGATTAATTATTATTTGATTTTCAATAATGCAGTCAAAATTAATGTGTCTTAATGATTTCTTATATTTACGCGAACACTAAACGTTGATTAAAACTACTTTTACGGATTTTATCGCGTTTAATTATAATTTTAATTATTTTTAATTCCCGACGTTTCGGGTGCTTTCCAGCACCGATGGTCACGGGGGACTGAGGTGACTGACGTCCCGATGTCTTTGTTAAACCCGGAGTACCTTCAGCTTTTTTTTTTGAATTATTGTTTATGGTCCGATCTATGCAAAATGAACTGACTATGTCCTGAGGTCTTGCGGTGGTATGCTTGGGTTTAGACGGCCCCAACCATTACATCAGATTTGATAGACCACAAATCCTCGCGAAAGAACACCGGTTCCTACCAAGGATGATACGTGAGGCTATTTAAATTAAAAACATCCCAATTTCAATAGAGAAGGAGGCTGGGTACTACCACCTGCTTGGGACCCTATAATACCGTTAAAATTAAAACTAAACCCAAGCATACCACTGCAAGACCTCAAGACATAGTCAGTTCATTTTGCATAGATTGGACCATAAACCATAATTAAATAATAAATAATAACCCATTTTATAAAGTTTTTGTTTAATTGAATATTTAAACTTGGTAATAGAGAGGTCTTGTATACTTTCTGGGACTTTGTTGTAATAGCGTATACATTGCCCCAAGAATGAATTACTAACTCTGTGGAGTCGAGCAACTGCTAGCACCAACATGTGTTTCTTCCTAGTGTTTACAGAGTGTATGTCACTTTTTTACTAAAACTACCTTTATTTTTGTGAACACATCAAATTTTCATAGATATACTGAGAGGCCAAAGTTAATATATTTATATCTTTAAATTTTTCTTTAAAAGACTCTCTCGGTTTAAGATTGTAAATAGCTCTAATGGCCCTCTTCTGCAAAAAAATTCTGAATACATATAGAAGAAACAGACCAAAAAGTTAAAGCCGAGTCACAAAATAAGAAGACAAACATAAAATTACGCACAGTAAGCTTGCGTAATGGCGAGATATTGAAATTACGTAGTAGTTTTTTCAGCGCGGCCCTACTTATGAGTTTTTTATGACAAATTAAAAAACTTTTTTTATTCATGATTCATATAATTTAAGGAATTTTAAAAGAAAAAATTAAATTAAACAAATAATACATTAAAAAATTAATGATTCGATTATTTAAATATTTTTACCGATTATTCGCATAACAATGAATTTTAATCATTCAAACACTATGGTAATGTACATAGCGACATATCATTGAAATGACGTCAAGTAAAAAAAGTTGATACTGGTTATTTATATTTGCTTTGTTTGAAAGATTCAAATTTAAATTAGTGATAAAAACCTATACAGGTTGTAATGAAATATAGATAACTACATAATTTTTCGGATTTACGTAAAATGTTATTTTAAATAATGTGAGTACGCAAAGTTATTGCGGAATGATTAATGTGAAACGTCAAAAGGTATTTCTTAGATTTGGTTGACTATAAAATACTATAAAATTTTACTACATTATTTAATACAATAACAATTCAATTAATAATATGTATTAAATAATGTTTTGTGCATAGTCTATAGTATTGAATAATTATAAAAGGGTGTTATAATAGTTCGTTAACACCTATACATAACTAATGTCAATTTGTTTTTTAATAAATGAATTTCAATTTGTTTTTTATTTTTTAACGGATTTGTTTCAGGCCGTACTAGATTGCGATAAAACAGCAGAGATTTGTTGATAAAACTCAATTGATAGTGAATCAAAAGGAATAATACATATAAAACTAAACACGGATTTAATTGAAGATATCATACATTTCTGTGAATATTTAAACTGCAGACGTTGCGTGGTATTTACCGCAACTATGATCATGGTGGGACTGAGATTTTGTCGTCCCGATGTCTTATGTCTTTACTGCCAGAAATAAATTTTATCGAATTCATTGCCCGATGCGATAAAATCCGTGTAGTTGGTTATATTCTACTAACTTAAAACTGTTGTCTTTTTATCAAAAGATATTGGTACACAAGCAATAAATGAAGAGAAATTAAAAACTCTAGGTTATTATTTATTTTGTTGAATGGTTATAATTTCATTATGTTTATCATTAATCTCCTGGTAAATAACACGACGTGGGCGATTTTAAAAGCAGTTGTGACTAGACTTGAGTATACCGCTTATTTAAGGTTCTATGATCTAGTTTGGATGCGTATTTGTTTGATGGTGGTGGAAAATATCACTTAGTAGCATTGGATTAAGTGAAAAGTCGTATTAGGAGGTTTTCTCATATTCATTATCATTCATCACGAGCACAGGCGTAGCCACTCGATATTCAACAGCATAGATTTAGGCGAGTGGAGAAGAATTAGAAAATTTTATTCCTGTCTTTGTTTTCCTCCATCGAAAAATTAATTAATTAAAAAAAGACCGGCCGAGAGACCTGACACTTGGCCGGTCTTCAATTACCTGTTATCGATATTCCTCGCATTCGAATTAAGGGTTTTGCTTCAGTTAAAATAGTCTTACTTTTGCAGCCTAAATTTGTTTCATCACTCTTTCTCATTTATTCTTTCTACGCATACAAACTACAGCAGTGTTTTTTCTTAATCATGGTTATAATATCACCTTGCAAATCACACTTCTATTATTACGCAATTTTACACCCTTTCATTCGGAGACATCTACTTATTACTTAATAATTCTTAATGATCGTATTTCACTAGCACTTATTTTAATCTTGTAATTCTTTTGCTACAGAAAGCTTACGCTCCCATACCACAGATTAATAAATAGTTTACCAAACAACAATATGCAAATGCAAATCACAACATTGTCCCTACCTTTGCCTTTGCCTTTTTGACAAATGAGTTTCCACAATAGAGGGAAAGCGCCACACAAAATTTACAATTTTTTCTCTTAATGACTGTCTACAGAAATTTCCAGCTGAACTGAGAAATTATAATAATTGCTATTTTTATTCACTAATTAATGGTTTTGGAAAAAAATATATGTTCCCCTTGACCGAAAACGAAAAAAAGGCTAAAATGATTGTTTTGTATAATTTATCTATCGTTTATTTTGTACTTCTATTATGCGCACTGAATATGACAATAACAATCCTTAACTCGTGCATGTAAATCTTATAATAACAACTTTTCTTATGTTGATTTATTTTCTCTGACATATGGACCGTTTAAAAAGGAAATTGAAACTGTAATGGATAATAGTTAAATTAATATTCCACTTTTATATTATGCTACTTTGACTTAACACTTTACTTTGTCGATGAGTTACTTAACTGTGGAAACTTTATTGTTAGATGTAAGATTAATATGTGTTATGTATTAGACTAAAATTATGTAGGTTTCCTATGAAGATAAAGTGTATATATATAAGTGGCGATGTTGTCAAGATTTCGAAATCGTTCCCAAATCCGTACGAAGCCGGGATGTATCGCTAGTTAGGTAATATAAAACTAAAAAGTAAATTTCTTATAACATAAGAAACATTTAAAAATTTCAGCGACAAGTGAAGATTTGGAGTTACGGGAAACAATTGAAAACCTGTCCTACCAATGTTTGCCTGAATGCGAGCATTTCGATTATCCGTTAGAGGTGGCTGTGGGCAATCTAGCTACGAACTTGCCTTTAAATGGACTATCTTTTTTGTAAGCGCTCAGACAATTATCACCATCCTGTGCTGAACAATAATTGAGGACAGTCGAGTAAAATTTTTGTTTTTATACGATAAGGGTGACAAACGAGCACTCAGTCCACCTGACGGTAAGTGGATGCTGTGGTCATAGACATCTACATTTATCGTCAATTAAGAATCGAAATGTAGACGCGTTGTCACCCTTGAGCAATGAGATGAAATGCCTAGTTTTCAGTACAAAGGGTCTGCGATACTCTACACTCACCAAAGGAAACGCAGCAACATTTAGCTGCTATTTAGCGACGGCCGAACTAACCTATTCGCGATACAACCACAATAAAGCTGCAGCGTGGCTTTACCACGTACATAATATTTTTAAAAATTTATTCTTCTCCTATTTTAATACAAAATTATCGATATAATATTAACAGTATTATTTTATATATTATTTAATTAAAGAAATTTAAAATACATACGTATTGTGCCATGTGCATTTCAAAACCTATCGGTTAAGAGACACTTTTTCACAAGGTCGTTGATCATCGTGCTAAGATTCTCCAGCGATTCTACCATCATCATTCATCATCATTACAGCCCTTCACAAGTTCACTGCTGAACATTGGCCTCACCCAAGGGAGCCCACAAAACACGGTCCTGAGCCACCTGCATCCGTCTACTTCTTGCATGTCTTACCAGGTCATCACTCCATCTAGTGGGGGGTTACATTAGACTTCGCCTACCAGTATGAGGCTACCATTCGAGAACCTTTTTTCCCATCTGTTGTTGGTTTTTCGAGCTATAAAGCCAGCCCATTGCCACTTCAGCTTACTAATCCGTCTAGCTATGTTGGTCACTCTGGTCCTACTGTAGATATCCTCATTCCTAAGTTTACGCAGAGTAACCCACAGCATGGCCTTCCCCATAGCGTAGACCGTCTTCATACGGCCACGTCTCAGTTCCATAAGTCATCACTAGCAACACGCACTGGTTGTACAGTCTCGTTTTCGGGTTTTGAGGTATTATGCCTGACGAGAAGATGTGCCGTAATTTCCCGACCGCTGTCCAGCCGAATTGAATCCGTCAATTGACCTCTCGGTTGAAGTTGGACTTATGTAGTCGGGCTTAGTCCCAGGTAAAAATACTCGTCAACAACTTCGAGCTGAGTTCTTCCAATAACTACTGGCGTAGGTGTAACATGGACGTTACACATGATTTTTGTTTTGTCCATGTTCATCTTAAGATCTATAAGATGGAAAACTATTGAGGTCATTGAGAATAGTGCTTAGGTCCTCCAGTGATTCTGACATAAGATTTATATCGCCGGCAAACCGAAGGTGAGTGATGTACTCGTCATTGATGTTAATACCGTATCCCTTCAAGTCCAGTAGCTCGAAAACTTCCAATGAAGCGGTGAAGAGTTTTGGGGATATAACATCACCCTGTCTTATACCTCTCTGCAGTTGGATAGGTTTTGTACTACCCCTAGCCCTAGCCCTACTGTGCAAACACTTCAGCACATCTATATACCGACACTCTACTTGGCACCGCTGAAGGGACTGTAGCACCGCCCAAATTTCGACGACATCGAAGACTTTCTCATATTCCAGATACGCCAGACAAAGTGGCTGATTGTACAATTTGCCGAAGGGTATGTATGTGGTCTACGGTACTAAAACTTTTTCGGAAACGAGCTTATTCGGGAGGCTGAAAGTCATCGGTCTGCGTGCGAGACGATTCGTATTGGCTCTCGAAAACAGCACGTATACGGTTGGCACGTAGACGCGGCTTAGAAGGAAAATAGGTCTGCAGTTCTTCAACAGAGCGTTGTCACCTTTCTAGAGGAACAAAACCACCGTACTTCTACTCCACGCCTCCGGCGTGGTACCAACATGGAAGACGAAATTAAACAGCTTCTAATGAATTTCAAGTACCGGTTTTCTACCCGCTTCCAACCTGCCGTTTTTGAGGTGTCAGGTAGCCATTCTAATCTCGCTCAGACTGACGTCCAGGATATCATCGGAATAGTGTCCGATAAGAATCTGCCATATTCACTTTTAAATGATCTTTTTACTATAATGTAAATCGCCAGACTTTTTTCTTTTACAACTTCTTGTACTTTAAGTTTATTTAATAATTATTTGGTTATACTAACTGAATAAAATAATTTTCAGTACTGGGGTCAACTTGGAAAATCAGTCCGTGCTTAACGTATTTTTTAACGATCTAGTATCGACACGTTATCGCCGTGATGTTTACTTCAACTGGCAAAATTTACTTGGTATGTATATTTCTTTTAACCTTGTGTTAGAAATTACTCTCAAAGTTATTTAATGAAAGGATTATTAATCAGTTACAAAACGTTATAAAACATACAAAAAACAAAGTAAACAGTTGGAAGTTAATTCAAGTCAACCGCAAAAAAAAATGAATTATGCAAACCAAAACCAATACAGCCTCTCTTCTACATTTCACTGCTTTTGTTAAGAGAACGACGATGATTGAAAGAAGAGACCAGTCAAGATATATATCACGCGTCCCAGAAATCAACATCAAGCCGAAAACGGGCAACAGGACAAGTCGTGATTCAAAAATAAATCTCAAAAACTGACACCCTGTGATGATCATTCAAGTTCTGTGACTACAAATATTAACTTTAGTCAGTTTTTTTTCTGTGATATTATCATGAAACCCTTCTTTATTTATGAATCCTTAAAATTTAAAAGTACACGAACAATATTTTTTATGGTTTTATAATAACTGTCACTATTTGGCCCATTGCCCGTTTTTGGATTGACATTGATTTCTGGGACCACCTATGTATGACGTATACTTAGGATCCTTATATTATACTTAAATTAATACTTAATATTATTATACTTAGGATTCAAGCAAGCTACCTGTGGTGTATTTTACATTTGCTTGGATTATATCTAGTTATCATGTCACGGTAGCATTTCACACGGGATTTCTTCTGAGTATCTTAACCGCAAGCAAATTGACAAAACCACCCATCGAGGACTTGTGTTTGCGGATATTCTGCAGGATGCAGTTGAAGGATTAAAGATTTATAACACAGAATAACTCCAGAATGCCTGTGTCTTTCGCTGTGAAAAACGTGTCAACATTTTGTTACTAATTACTGGCTGTTAGTGTAAAAAATTGGTTGTCCCTGAAATTCCTGAAACTTGTCGCTAATTTCAAATGCAAAGCGCTCAGAATTTCATCAAATTATGACGTTGAATATGAAATATTAAAAAAAATATAAGTAATATTATGAGTAATATTAAAAAAAATCAATTTTTAAAAATGTTTCGTTAACGATACCTCACGAATGAATCAACCGATTTTGACCGGACTGGCGGCGATCGACGTGGTTACACAGTTAGTGTCGTCGACGTGGTGACAAAGTTAAAAGCTGAAGTTGCTTTTGCTTGCATGCGCATGCGCACTCACATTCACAAGCACACGCACAAGCACACGCACACATACACCATTGAGAAATTGACAAGGCGGCTTCCTGTGACCTCAAAACGTCAAGATTTGTTGAAAACTCAATTTTCGAAAAACAATAACTTCACGATTTTCAAAACTTTTCATATTTCAAAAATCGGGAAGTGGGACTGCAGAACTTACATGAAAAGTTACTTAAAGTTCTACGCTACATAGTTGTGATGATGTACAGTTGTAGCATTAAACTGCTTATGACAAAATTAATAAAAGGCAAAAGAAAATAACCACGTATCATTAAATTCTTTCTAAAGGTTATATTCCTATCATATAGTACCACGGGTTTTTAAAATAACCATGAGATTATAGTAAGTTATTCTTATTACTAATCGTAAATCACATATTTACAAAACATAAAATCGTCATAAACACATTTATAACTAAATAAATAAAATCCAACGTAAAAAAAGGTTCAATAAAAAATAGATTGAAAAATGGTTCATCCCTAACCGTGTAACAACATAAGCAGCCTTAGTGTTGCAATACACCCCAAATTGAATAAAAAATCTCACCAGGAGCCAAATTTCATAGTAAATATAACTGTATATATAGTTTGGTTGTAAATATTTTAAAAATTGGTGCTGTTTCTGTCCTATCTTTTATAAAATTCCTTAAGTGTCTCTGTACTGACTATGGAATACAAAGCAATGGTTTCAAAATTTATAATAAAATATCCATCGCTATCCGAGTCCGGTTCAAACTACATTCTAAAGTGGGAGGAAACTATCGGGACGAAACAGAATCCAAAAAACCATAGAACCATAGAAACCATTATCTAAAATAAAAAACAATTAGACTGAAATAAAAAAATCTAAGTAAACGCAGTCAATAGAAATTTTTTAAATGCTATTGATACGGTAAAATTCAGGCTCGCACTTTTTCAGGCTTATATCAGTTCCATTCCCAGATTTTTTTTTAAATTGCGTGAATAAAATCAGTTTGATTGCGTATATAATATATTTTACTTTATGTGTGAGCGATGGGTTGGTCACAAAAAATATCTCTGATAATTATTGAATTATAGCTTAAAACATTATAAACTGTTGCAAACAGCTGAACAGGTTGGTCCCAGGCTTTCGTACTTTTTTGGGAGTGTTCTAAGGCAGAAAAGATTAGCGCTGGATTTTTCAATTTTTTTTATTTCTCAGATATCAAGATATCCTTACGATGTTCTCTTTTGCTACCGAAAACATGGTTAACCAGAACATAAAATTCCAAACAATAAATCCATTGGTTCTGGCGGTAATCAAACACGGTATACTTTATGTACTAGATAATTTATGCGAGCGCTATCAGGCAACACGCCCCTTTTTAAGGGTATATTGCTAACAGTAATGAAAGTTAAAAGTTTAGTAATTTTATTACCCTTGGCACTGCAGACTCGTGCAAGTTTTGCTTGCACGATAATTTAATTATAGAGTGAAGATCATTTTTTTATAATATTTAACTATTCTTTGGTGCTGTAGCTTATGGCGTTTGACAGATGCGTATATTATTTGAGATGCCAGAATATGGCGTTTGGACAGACGAGGGGTTAGCATTAAGCTACAGCATCAAGTACCGCTGGTTCAAATCTCGCTCGGAACAACATTTGTATGGCTCACAGATAATTGTTGCAGTTCTGGATGTTTGTCCTTGAGCAATTTATCTATATAAATTATCTCTGCTATACAGAAAAAATCATAGTTTAGTTAAAGTTGCTTTGAAAAAAGTTTAAGAAATATTGAAGAACTATATTATTTAAGCATTAGTAGATGCCATGAAGTATATACCACCAATTTACCTCTTGGCGCACTTACTACATGGAAAATTTAAATACCAAAATAAATTCAACTTCATGCCGATATATAACTAACATATATATAGCTATAAGACTTCTCTCTTAATCGATACGTGCAGTGCAGTATATAGTACGACAGTATACATGTTGTGTGGTATCTGATACTGTATTGTAAATTATTTTGCCTTCGCCTTTGTACATATAAATACGAAGCGTGGTGATTAACTAATGATATATCATTACCTTTACCGTTGCTGTTTATCAACAGTCTACTGTTGAACATAGGCCTTGCCACAGATTGCCTCATAATAGGGATATTTGGCATAGTTGCCACGCTTGGCAGGCTTGTCGGCAGCCGCGGTTTTCTTATTTTCTATTGTTGTTACCCATCTTCTAATTTGCTTCATTTTGTAACCTCTTACGACACCCTCATGATGATATGAATAGGAATAATGAATATTCCGACATCGCCACTACGGTACGATATCTCAATATATATAAATTACGTGTCAAGTTGTTTGTCTGCGGTGGACTCCTAAACTACTTAACCGACTTTAATCAAATTTGCACACCGTGTGCAGTTTGGTCCAACTTAAGAGATAGGATAGTTTTTTTGCCCATGCGTGACCCACAATTTATTTTTTTGCGAAATTAAGCATTTTAAATAGGACATGACAAAGGGTCGTCGAAAAGGGCAGAACAACGTCTGCCTGGCAAGCTAGTAATATAGTATAAGTTATGGTCAACATTTTGAGTACTCAAAGTGTGAAAATTTTTGTTTGGTGATTTTCTGATGCGCGAATAAATATTTAGTAGCATTATGTTTTATTTTGTCATTCCCATAATATTTGGTTGGGTTCAGAGACCGAGACACTTTTCTAGAATGCTCCAAATGATATGAGTGTGTACCATATACATCAATATCATTACGTCTTTTCACAAGTCCATAGAATACCACAAATCACGGTTCTAAGCCACCTTGATCCATCGACTACCTGCATCCATCCATCGATTCAAGGTCGTCACACTATCTAGTGTGAGGAGGGAGCATGTGCCCCTCCACATGCTTTTAGCCGAATTCACAACGAGAGAAATTTCTTTGGACTTTCTTTGAATAAATGTTAAGGGATATTTTTGTCAATTTTGAACCGATTTTGTTCTTTTTTTAAAAATAGATTGTACTTCAGAAGTGGAAGTCACACGTAAATTTAAAATAAAACTGCAAACATTTAGATAATATTATGATTGCGACATTAGACAACATTAGATGGAGTGATGACCTGGAGTGGAGTGACGACCTGGATCGGAGTGATACCGTGCTTTGTGACATTCTTTGGAGAGGCCTATGTTCAGTAGTGGCTCTAATGATGATGAAGACTGCGATATTCCTTGGTTCACTCAAAAGGTTAAAAATATTCTAAAAATTTCCTTTTTTACCGACTTCAAAGAACTAAAAATAATAAAAAAAATTAAAAATAATAAAAAAAATGGTTTTTACTCCCACTCCTTTTCAGTTCACGCGGTAAGGTTATGGAACTCATTACCGTCTAATATAAGAGATTCCGAAACTTTATTGGTATTTAAGAAACTGTTAATTAATATATATTATTCTATTATATTAATATATATATATATATATATATATATATATATATATATATATATATAATATGTAACTATCATATTTATTATTTTTATCCATTGATTTATTTTATTTTTATTTATTGTTTTATTTTATATAATTTTCGTAACGTGTATTATTTATTTATTAGTAGTAGTAATGTATGCACTACGTTTGCCATTTCAATATAATTTCCGTTATGGGTCTACTGGAAGATATTTCAGCAAATTATGGAATGAGTAGAACCTGTGTACGAATTTACGATAAGACTGCTTCTGTATCTTGATGTGTGTACATAAATAAATTAAAAAAATGCCCTTAGATTAGGGAAATAATCTTCTTGTACTTTGATTTTTACTGATTTTATTTTTCAACTATGTTTATCTCAATCTTTTGTTTTGTTATGTGTTTATATATATTTTTTAAGTTTTTATAATGTTCGTGTATTTGCAGCTGCATTTGGGGGCCTGCTCAGTCTTATGCTTGGCTTCACGTTGATATCCGGCTTCGATTTCATGATTTTCTTTGGATTCAAAGTAATCTACGACTTCACAACGATGGTGTTTAGAGGTGACAAATATTTAGAGAAGAAACGTAAGAAAAACAGAGGTTCCATATTACTAGTGCAAGAGCATAAGAAAGCCATAAAAGAAAATATCTCGGTAAAAAATACTGGCATGTGGCGTTCAGAATTAAATAAACAACAAAAATACTAAAAACAAGCTATGCAATTTAATATTAAATTATATTGTATTCGGTGTTGTTGCATAGTATTTTATATTACTTATTAGCACATTATACATTTAGAAAATACTTTTGACAAAATAGTGAAAAACGTAGATGCTATCGCTGTGCTTCTATCGTTAGTCTTAAAAGCACTTTAAGTATTATATTACAGTTATAAAAAGTTTATGTTATTGAATTATGATTAGATTCTTTTAAACTTTATTTTACATGTTTTATTTATTAGATACAGCCTGCATACAAAAGCCTAGTCTTTTGAAAAAGAACAACGCATCTACAATTCCCCTGGTGTTGCAGTTGTTCGTGGGCGGGGGTAGTCACTTACTATCAGGTGAGGCGTATGGTCGTTTGCCCCTCTCCGATAAAAAAGTAAATTTACTATCTAGACACACGATAGGTTGTTGGGACAAAAGTGGCGACGCACCGGCAGTGTGTCTATTTATGCGAACCATTTCGAACCTCTTTCAAATACCATGTAACAGAAAAACAGACTTGTGATTTTGTATACGTGAGAAGGTCCTCTCATACACTTAGAAGCAAATGACAAAGTTTCGACGAGCGTTACGATCTCTCAAACGCTGCCTGGACATTTCTAATTCTAATTTCTAACAATTTCAATAATCTGTAACTGCTACGATGCATATGTAAATTTCAAGAATAACTATCTAAATAATAAATATCATTAAACATATTTTTTCACTAATAATCATACGTATTTATTTTTATATTTTAATAGGTACTGCTGACATATTTTGTTTTGTTGTGTACACTCTATTGGATTATAGACTAGTTATTATAATATTTGTCACTGTAACTGTGTTATTTATGTCGTCAAACTGTTTGTGTCAATCAAAATTCATGAACAAACCCGTCAAATTTCTTGAGTAATCGAAAAATCTAAGCAACTTCTAGGTTACTAATACTTTTGAAATTTGTTATCCAGGATCATTAGGCGGTATACAAACCGAAACATCACAAAAATGAAAATATTTATATTCGGTATCGACAAAGTTTTCGGTGCGGTTAGTTTTAAGTACTGCACCTAAAACTAATCACACTAATAACTTTGTCAACATCAATTATTATAATTTACATTGAAATAGAAAACAGGGAAGCATAAAAGCAGGGAAAATCATTTGAAAGTTATGTATTTATTTGTATTAAAAAAGGATGAAAAAAAATTCAAAAATTAATGATATTCCATCATAAACATAAATTATGTAAAATATAAAAATGTGGTGCCAGTTTAGATCTCAACTATATTATCGGCCAAGCAGACAAACCCAAATTGCTAGGTAAACGTGGTCTCGTTTTCACATTTATGTTTTTAGTGGAATTATAATATCTCGGCGAATAAGTCGTAAGATACTTTAAATAAATATTCCTCAGAAAATGGAATCTATTATCTATACCAAAACTATTTTTAAACACTATTGTTTATCCCGACAACTCATAAAATTCTTTTATTAGTTTATTTTGTTGGTTCACCGTAAGATACTCAAACAAAATTAAACCAAAATCAATGGCACTGATCATATTAACATGAACGTTTGTTTGCATTTTACATATATTTCGAGAAACACACATCATCTGTAGAAGTTAACTAATATTGGTAACTAACTAAATCTATGCCCGTGCGTTTAATTCTGGTTTATGTTTCACTTGCATGCTTCCCGGACAATGAAGTTAAAACTAATCAACCGAGTTTGCTACGACCAAGTATACAGATGTCCAAGCTCAGTTTATTTTAAACAATGAAGTTAGCTGAAATATGAAATGAAAATAGCTCAGTTGAGTGTACATTTTTCAGTTTTTTATTTAATTATTAGTTATCAGCTTAAAGTTGTTATCGAATTGTTATTGTTGTTTGAAAATTTGATAAAGAGAGAAAGTTATATTTATTTAAAGACATTTTCGTTCACACAAATACTTTACAGAAAATATTTTAAGTTTTAATCAAATATCAGATTAAATTACGATTAAATTTGCGAGCATACAAATAAATCGTCTGTAAGGTATCCGTATGTGTGTGTAATACGGGGGAGGGGTAATGAGAATAAAATATGACAACTAAGAAAAAAGAAGTTATATAGAAATAGTAATAGAAAACTTATTGTTCAACTTTCAAATAATTCTTATTGGAGTTCATTCTTACTAATTCGGGATATACCTGTCTTGGAAAGAACATACATACATATATATCTATATTTTTTGCAAAAAGAACAGTTTACGATCATTTATTATATGTCACAATTAACAATACAAAGTATATTATAAATAGGGATCTCTTCTCCTCATGTCTAGGGGGTTGTTATTCCCAGGGATTCTCATCATCTATAAATTCCCTTATATTATAATATAACTTAATATGGAAAGATTTCGTGTGCAGCAACGAAAGAAGGGATATCATATATCTTGTGCCGGACGCAACTGAAAATTGGTCGATCGCCCGTCCAGTATTTAGGTACTAATTTGTTTGTAGAATTGTTTGCACACATATGTGTACACATATGCGCATTAAGAATCAAAATGAAGATGCGTTGTCACCTCTCTTAGGACAAAGATAGATCGCCTCGTTTGCAGCAATAAGGATCTCTGGTTCTCTACACTTACCATAAGAAACACAGCAGCATTAAGCTGCTATTTTTCTCTAGTATTCTGCGAAGTTGTCGTGGTAGCTCAGGGGCTTGGCGTTCGCTGTACATTTCACAGTACGCAAGCAACTGGGTTCGATCCCCGCTGGCAACAATGAAATTATGGCAATTTTAAGTGCTGATTTACCACGTGCTCGACGGTGACGGAAAAAATCGTGAAGAAACCTGCTTGTCGGAGAAATAAAAAAAAACTTAAAACACTCGGAAGTAAGAGGAGGCCTAGCAGTGAGACGTATAAGGGCATACGTCAAGCCGACCCATTCGTGTTACAACTATAATATATAGCTTCAGCATGCCTCTACTACTTAAAAAGCGGCAAAATTACTGGCAACGCGACACAGAAAAATATAATATATTACAAGCTGTTAAATCTCCTTTTTGGCTTGGAAGTGAGGTTTGGTATCATCATTGTATCTAGCGGTCACTACTTTGTATTTCTGCTTGGAGAGTGTTTTTTGAGGAGGCCCTTTAAAATGAATTAAAGAGAGAGAGAGAGAGAGAGAGAGACAATTGACAAAGTTATTAGTGTAATTAGTTTTAGCTGCAGTACTTAAAACTAACCGCACCGAAAACTTTGTCGATACTGAATATAAATATTTTCATTTTTCTGATGTTTCGGTTTGTATACCGCCTAATGATCCCGGATAACAAATTTCAAAAGTATTAGTAACCTAGAAGTTGCTTAGATTTTTCGATGACTCAAGAAATTTGACGGGTTTGTTCATGAACTTTGATAGAGCTTGAATGAGTAATATATATTACGGCACTCACAATGAATGGCATCCAAATGTCGCGGAAAGTGTAGAGTTGTGATCAATGACAACTCTGACTTAAATTGTTCCTGAATGATTCGTTTAGGGAGAGTTCATCCCAATCAATCTTAGCGAGCCACAAATTTTTTACGAGGAGCCTAGCGAATAAAATCATAGGAGCAACCACTTCCTAATACATCAAATAAGCGTGAGATGGACGAGAGAATATTTCTCTTCGTACAAGAGCGATGGTCAGGGTGGACATAAAATGCGAAATAGTCTACAAATAGAAACCAGCGGAGGCCAAGAATTTTAAGCGTCAATTCTTCACTATCCAAGTATACACATTGCGATAAGTGCAACTCAACTCGCGAAATACTACAACTCGGGAATAGCCTATAAGACTGTGGAACTTTTACTAGCCCATTTAGTTAGTTCAAAATCCCCTGCGTGAACGAGCTGAATGAGTTGGGTAGCAGCATTGGCTGCTTCATCTGTTACTCTCTATACATATTATATATATATATATATATCGATATGAGGGGACTCACTACATCATCAACATAAAGGTTCAACTCAAACATCAACAAAAATGCTAAGGGAAATCTGTGTCCTTCATCCATGCATAATTGCTGGAAAGTGCGAATTGTCAAAATAGGCTACTTTTAAGGCCAAAAGTAACGCGTTTAATTTTAAATACTTGTATAGGTTCCTGTGGATTAAACATACACAAAATGCGTTGAAAAGATATACGCAGATACATTTGGCGTACATCTGCTCTCATTGCGATAGGGAATAGGCACTTATTCAATAAAATATTAAAAAATTAGCTTGAACAGCTGAACCTGAATACAAAATATCATTAAATGAAGTCCCGTCACCACCCCTCCTAACACTAGTGTCAAGAACGACGTAGTTTGGTCGTCGCTTTATTGTCTCGTATGACAGAATGGTAAGGAATATAATACGCGAGTTCATCTGAGTCAGAGGCACTGACCGACGATACATAATTATTCTCAAGATACTCCTTAACGACGTTTTCATATAACCCTTTAATCTTTGGGTTAGAAGCTAGTTTGCATTTGAGACTTAACAAACGGTGTTCTCCGATATAAAATGAGTCTCCAAAAGAGAAGGCATCACTTTTGCGAGGCAGACAATTTGGTATTTGCCTAATGCGTTTCCACAACGTTAGAAACATACAACCTCTCACAATACTGATCGTCGATACTACTGAGAGGTGTGACTTCGACTTCTGTCATTTCCGAAAACTTGCGTAGATCCAGAAATTCTTGAGAAGAAGTAGTACAAAGAGACCAGGTACAAAGGTGGTGTCCCTTTATCAACTGGTGCCTTGTACTATCTAAGTATAACTATCAACTTTTAAAGTGATATGTCCTAAAACCTTTTCTATTGCTTCAGGAGTTTCTGGCTGCGAGAAAATTTTGCTTAAATTTTTTTTTAGTTAACGACTTAGAGCATGTCATCGTCACCTAGTATAGCCTAGGAGTCGTCGGCGAGCGAAAGATTATTTAAATGATTCATTTTTGTGACATCTATTTGCGT